TAACAGTCCCCAACTTCACTGTTTTGGTTCTGTCTCAACGCTTCTGTTTCCAGGCAGCGGTTTTCAGCAAAAAAAAGGCGAATGTCGATCTGCATCCGAACATGGTAGAGCATCAAGCCGCTAAACAGCCAGATAATTGTTGCTGTTAGAGAATGAAACAGAAATGAAAAACCAAAAGCAACAGACGTACATTAATCAGATGGACAGCAACACAGCTCCAGCTCCATGACTGCTAAATATGTTTTCTAACATGCTAGCCACATCAATGCCATAAAGTACTAATGTTTCAGTGTTGTGCGAACAGCTTGTTGCATTGCCCTCAAGTGGCCAATATTCAATTTAACAGATTTAAAAAAGGGGGGAGACTAAAACAAACCACTAGGTAGTTAAATGTAAAATGATGCCAAGTGAAATATGTGCTCCCATTCTGTGTCCTCCTGACTTTATATTTTTTCCCTGGCCTGTTCCCAACCATCTTGTTTTTCTTCCTTACGTCTTCTTTCTCTAACTCTCTTTCCTGTCATCTCAAACAAACCCAACATGTGTTATGAGCAGGCTTGTGGAAAGGCAATTGCAAAAGCATCAGAATCCAAATCATCAACATTTTTTTTCCTCACAATAAATCCCACCTCGTCTCTGGTAGCATGTTTATCTGCGTCTCCTCCACACTTCTCCAACACACTCCCTCCTTGTCCTGACCGTTCTACATCACTCTCCGCTGTGTCTCTTCCTGCCAAACTCTCCTTCCCTCTCACTTTTTTCTTCCCTCCATTCCTGCCACTACTCACTGCATCACTCCCTCCTTCTCTTTTCTCCCCCCTCCCCCCCTCTCTCTCTCCGCCTGCCTTCCTTCCTCCTTCCATCTCTCCTCTCTCAAGCTGACAGTACCTGAGGGAAGAGGCCACCTGCGGACCAAGTGGAGAATCAGCCGACAGCTGTGTGCACACTCTCTCCAGTGGCCTTCAATTATTCACTCACTTCTCCCTCCTCCTTTTCCCTCTCCTCATCTTTACTGTGCCCTTTTCATCTCTCCCCGCCGTCTCTGCCTTTACCTCTCTGTTGCTGTTTCACAGCGAGCTGCCTGTCTCGCTCTATCATTCCTGTTATTCCCTCGCTTAATCCCTTCCTTCCCCTGTTGCTCCTATCCCCTTTTCTTCTAACCTTCCTGGATGCCTTTTAACACTCTCCCACACTCTTCTGACCATCACTCCATCATTTTCTCCCCCTTCTCACCCCTACTGCATCAGCCCAGCAGCTCCTTAACTCCACTTCACTAACCTACTCCTCCTCTTTGCCTCTGTCTCCTCATGTCTCCTTCTTTCTCATGTGTTTCCCAAAAGATTGATGACTCTCCGCCACAAGGCGAGTGGGCCTGTTTAAAGATGCATGAGGTGATGAGGCCAAGTTTTCTCCTCCTTCTCTCTCTCTCTCTCTCTCTTCTTTTTCCCCTCCCAACCCTTTCTTCTGACGGCAGCAACCGCCTCCGTGAGAGGCTTCCCACTGATCCCAGGCGGTCAGAGGCCACCTCCAAATCAGACAGCCCTCCCAGCTCTTGTCAAGATGGCTGAGTGTGACGTATGACGATCAACCAGCAGACAGCGTGATAAATGATGCCGCTGAGGACTGCGACTCATAAATGGACAAAAAAAAAAAAAAGCTGGCAGTCATCGATATGATGATGCACTGAATCGACAGGGAGAGGAGGGAGAATCACTGGTGCTCAGTGCTCAGTGTGGTAAAAATAAATGAAAAAAGAGTTTGAAGGGCAAGTTGTTGGCGATATTGCTTTTTTATGAACCAGAGGTGATACAAAAATGCAATTTTTTTTAGCTGGATAAAGGATCATAATAAATATATCTCATCAAGCAATGCCATAAATAGAATACATGAACAAAACAAGGCCTGCATTTTGTGTATAAATAACTGCGTCAGGTTATACAATCCTTATTTAGCGCGTTGAGGTAGAAGAACTGTGTAGCAGAAAATTTGTTTAAGAGACCCTGACCAAAAATAAGTATGTATATGTAGGTAGTTAGCACTGCAGGTCAAAAATCACTGTTGTACACCCACCTGTATTAGAAACACCTGTGCACCTGCTTATCCTTAGCTATCCAATTAGCCAATCTTGTGGCAGCAGTGCAAAGCAGTGACTTTCACTTTGGAGTGATTGTTGGTGCCAGACGGGCTGGTTTAAGTTTTTCTGAAACTGCTGATCTGCCGGGATTCCTACGCACAAAGGTGTTGTAATGTTTCCAACATCTTGTTGAATCCATGCCACGAAGAACTGTGGCTGTACTGAGAGCAAAGGGAGGCCCTGTCCAGTGTTAGTGTGGTGTTCCTGATAAAGTGCTCAGTGAGAGTATAGATTCCGAAATCATTTCCACTGAAGACTATCTTATTCAATATATTCATTGCTGTCTAGAATGGCTGTCTTGGACTGAAATAAAGCATGGTGCAAGCACTCAATACTCAGGTATAGATAAATAACATCTATTTTAATAGGGCCCATGAGTTGATTTTATGCGACTGCCAACCATAATGTTTTTCTCAAAACCAGCACCATTAGTAACCAAAGTCATAAATTCTCTAATTCTACACATAATGGCAGAAACAGTAACCAGGCAGAATATTTGCATTTCACTGACCTCTGGCTAAAAGTTTCCAGTCTGTTGGACATCTGACAGGTGTGTAAACAAGATTTTTTTTAGGTGGTGTTACGGTGTGTATGAGACTGTCACATTTCCAATTTTAACTAACAAACGCGTGACTGTAGCTTTCTGATATATTACATGGTATTATTCCTGATACATTTCTATAAATTGATATGAAGCTCAAATGAGAGGCTGCTTCTTTATGTCAATAATAACCCATGAAAGCTTTTATGAATGGCCATAAGTGAATAACTGAACAAAATATAATCAGAGTGCTTTTGATAGCATAGACCATAGTGCTTCTCTTTGAAAGTAGCTTGAGCACTTGGCCATTAACAGCCTTGCTCATGAACAGTCCAACTATGCCTTTATAAATGTATTGTATTTTTCTGCTCACAATCTTGCTTCAATAACCCTTTCACTGCTGGCTTACAGGACACTGACTGATGAAGAAGTGTGTCTTAAATCACGCTTGATGTACGAGAGTCTTTAGTGTCTTAGCTATTTCTAACTGAGCACTGAGGACTAAACGACCAGTTGCATTTATCAAGAGCAATAAGCTGATGCTCAATACCAGTGATGAGCAGGTCAAATATTGATGATTCTATTCCTAGCTCAACAGATGTCAATATGTCAATAAGTAGCATTGAGGTCTCAATGATCTGGTCGATAAAAATCTCTCAGTTCTCACATATTCACACTGTACCACACAATGAGTCAAAGGTACTGAACGCAATAACCATGCAAAACTCAATTTCTCCAATCTCACTTATTCACATGAATCAAAGGGCGGCCAGTATCTGACCCCAGAAACAGACCCTCGATTAGTAAATGAGCAGTTTGACCTGAGCTGCCTAATAGACTGCCATCAAGCAGACAGGAAGTAAGGAGTGGAAGGTGTCTCTTTCCCCTCTCATTAAGGCCGACACAACTCTCACTCCATTTTGTCTGACAGAGGGATGAAGAGAGGAAGGAGGAACAAGACTATTGAAGGACATTTCCTAGAAGATCTGAGATTGTTGTTCCTTTATTCTAACCTTTTAGATTGACTTCATACCACAGGTTCAGGTAGGGATATTAAGTCATTACTGCCAGCAACATCTCCCTAAGTAAAATGTACACACCAATTCGCATAAGCATCATATTCATAAAGTATTTACATGAAAATACTTGTAATCTAACAGGCTTATTTGCCTTCTTAACAAACAAAGGTTTATCCATTCATGTAGTACTTCTGTGCAGCATCAACAACTGTAGCACTAGATAAACAGTGAGTGAGTTCAGTTTGGTGTTGGTTTCTGTACGGGCACAATGGTACCAAACGACTGCAGGTTACAGTGCACGGTCATTGCACCCACCTGGTGTTCATTTGCTAATAGTTCAGCACAAAACTCCTCCTCCACAAATGTGTGCTTTTAAATTTCTGTTTGTTTACATGCTAAACAAACAAGCTAGAAAATCTGTTTTAGAAGTGTTGTTAGGTGTTTTTTTTTTTGTTTTTTTTACTTGGGAGACAGCCAGGCTAGATGTTTCAGGCTAGGCTAAATATGCCCTGAATGCACATTAGATTTAAAAAAGAGATAGTACAGAGGACATATAACATGTTTATTATGGAGTTATAGAGATGCTAGTATGTCAATTTTGTTAGCTTTCAAAAGAGCCAGGCTAACGGTTACCAGTTTTTGTGCTAAGCAAAGCTAACTAGGGGCTGGCTGTCATTTCATATTTTAAGTACAGATGCAAGAGTTATGTTCATCTTCTCATCTAATACTGGGAAAGAAAGCAAGTTAGTTTTTCTCCAAAATTGGGAAATTATTCCTTTAAAGATTCAGCATACAGTCACTGTCTCCAGCTGTTGTCTGTTAGGCTAGGCCACACCTCCATACTTAACACACAGATAGGAGATTGATATTGATATTTTCATAAATGCTTTGAAAGAAAGCAAATAAGTACACATTTCTAAAGACAAGACTTTAAGTGATGTAAAACCTCCAATTAAACTGATAATGTCCTTTTAGAGAGAGAAGCAGCAGAAATAAATGGCAGAGAGAAAACTGCAAGAGGAGAAAAAGAGACAAAAAAGAAAGAGGTGAGACAGAAGATTACCACAGATGCATTTAGAGAGAGTGAGGTAAGAATGAGGGAGACAAACAGAAAGGGAAGGGGGAGGGGGAAAGGACAGAGAGAGGGAAACAGAGGAGAACGAGAGAGAAAAACAAGGCCAGACAGGGAATCAGACAGTCAGAGCGACTGAGGCAGACTGACAAGCAGAAAGAGCAGAATGAGTAACTGATAGATGACTGAAAAATACAGCCCAAAAAGAAAAGGGAAAAGATGCACTTGTTGTACCTTCTCTTTCAGCCCGGAATATGAAGGTCCGAAGTGAGGTGACTACCTCAAACTTGTTATCACCCAGTCCTCGTACCTGTCTGATAGCACTGGCCAGGATCATACCTTTGGAGTACATCTCCTATACAGAGAGACAAATAAAGAGAGATAAGAGTGCTGCAAAAACACACAAGGTGTATACACACACACACACACACACACACACACACACACACACACACACACCTTCATGCATGCTTGTAATGTTATTGAATTTTTGCTTATTCCTATTATCTGCATCTGTGGACCCACAATTACTGTTTTCCAGCGCACTGTTTGCATCAATAGATGTGTAATTCTGAGTTGTATTACCGTTGGCTATGATCGCTTTCAATTTGAAACACCACTGACAGACATCCTCAAACTAGAGCCATAACCCATCAATACAGCATCAAATTTATTTGCAGAAACAGCTTCCCTGTTCCCTTTCAAACAATAACTTTGATAAATGGCACAGAGCTCTCGGAAAAGCAGCATTTGAATCAAGAAACTGCTGCAGAAGTATAAACAGCAAAATGTACACTGTATCTTTTCATATGAGCTGCATACCATTTGCTAAGCCAGCAGTCATTGCATTGATGTGATCTTTACATTAACATTGACATTAACATAAAAATTCAAATTACAGACTTGAAATATGTGTAATTTGAAAATGGAGATGCAGGAAATAAACCTACGCTCAATTAAGGACGCCCAAAAACAAGAATAACACACATGGCGCTGTCATTTGGGCGTTAGGAGACATCATAAAACAAATCTACAAGCTGAAAACAAACTTCTCAAATATTTAAAAAGAGACATGTACACTGTACTGGGGATTTGGGTAAAGCATAGGAAGTGCTTGTTGGGTAAAGTGGGATTTGGTTGTGTGTGTATTGTCTCATTACCCCCGTGTTTTCCCCTAGCAGCTCTAGTGGAGGCATCCAAATAAGGAGGATGTTGCACTGGAGGCTTCATGACCCTCTTTACAGTCTCCCTTGACAATGGCAATTAAAGTACTGGGTCGTTGTCAATGTGAAAAAGAGACAGAAGGGGCAAAAAAGAATAATCAAACTTCAATATCATCACTTCTAAAGAAGTTGGGACAGAATGGAACCGCCATCTGATCGGTATTCAAACCATGATGCGGCAAATATATGAGAAAAATGCCCTTAAAGTAGTGGAAAAAGCCAAGAAGATCTCAGATTGTAATGTTCTCTCAGTAGAGTGAACTGGGGGACAGTACATTATGCTTCTGTAGCGGTGTGAAAATCACTGGGTTATAAAAAGGGGAAAAAAGGGGTCGTTGCAGACATTGCATTATTCATGTCGATAATGTCATTATCATTGCAAAGTATGAAAAAAAAAAACAGACATGTCTCTTTTTTCCTCTCTGTTGCTCTTCAATGGGCTTGACCTGAATTTTGATTCTCTGCAGTCCTGTGCACACTATAATGTGCAACACTGCACGTTTTCTCTACTGTAACGCCGCCATCATAAACTGCAAAGATGCAGAGTGGGAAGTGAGCAAGGAAAGGATGAATGGAGGAAGAAAAATGCAGTGAACTTCTGACTCCTCTCTCACCATTGTTAATTAAGCCCGTGACCTTGCCATCCACAAAAGCCTATTTCTGGAGACCATACAGCCAAAAATATACCAGCCAGCGCAGTCAGTTAGGGAGAGAGAGCGGGGGTGGAGGGGAGGAATGAATGGATGGATGGATGGAGGGAGTGTGAAATGAAAAAAAAAAAAAAAAACAGAGAAATTAGGTTTGCGTGAAAGGCCAAGGAGAGGGCTGAGGGAGAGAGAATGGAGAGAGCGTGGAGAGATACAGTGCAAAAATAAATAAATAAATAAAACACAAAGCAAAAAGCAACAGTGAAAATCCATAATAAAGAAGAGAAAGAGATGCAGAAGGAGGAGGAAGAAAAAGGGAGGTGTGTGGGAAAGACATCATGTAGAAATGAAGATGCCTAAGAGGGTCAGGGAGGGGTCCTTCTCATATTAAAGCAGGATGTTAACAATGGAAAGAAGAAGTGGCTCAACCTAATTACCGACAGCCGGCCTTGTAAATTTCTCTCCCCAGGAGTTTCACACCAATATCTCCCCTCTTTCTCTCTCTAAATTTAGATAGAAGTTAAAGGAAGGTGAGGAAAGGAGAAACTAAGTGTGTCCATGTGTGTGTGTATGTGTGCATGTGGATGAATTAGCTTGGTGGCTGCGTGCTGATAATTATACCCCCAGTATGGGTTAACAGTAATTAATTGTTTTAATTCTAGTTTTGGGGTCATGACGGAGAGAGTTGTTTAATTGTGAGTTGTGCATCTGTAAATACTCTGACAGCGGAGTCAGTGGAGGGATGATGAAAGGAAGCGGTCAGCGTTAAGACAGTGGATTCAGACAACAACACCATGCACTGCAGCCGCCCACACACACACACACACACACACACACACACACACACACACACACACACACACACACACACACACACACACATAATGTTTATAGACTAATCTCAAGAGGATGGACTGCCAAGGAAGCAATGAGGCCTAACTATCTCTCTTTCTCCAATAACAGACACACCTGACTCACCTCCCCCTGCCAAAGATCTCCTCCACACTCATTTCCCCTCACTCGTCCTCCCTTCACCTCCCTCCCCACGCTCGACTCTCTCACTCCCACATCCTCTCATTCAAGCTGCTCCTATATCACTACCTCTCATTCTTCCCTCCCAGCACTTGTCAATCCATGTCATTTCGCCAGGCGGTTGCCACCTTTTTTTCCTTTTTGTGGAACTGCCTATCCTGTGTGGATAACTACGTCTCGTTTCTTTTCAAAAACAAACCGGTAAACTTCAGGAAACAATTAAAGCAGAGCAGTGGCGCTAAAGCCTACAATAATGGAGGTGTGGAGAGAGTAGAGAGGAGGGTAAAGAGGGTGGAGAGTTTTACCACCAGCATGGAGTTAAGGCTCTGGCATCTCTAAAGCATCGGATTTTCAGTAGAGGCATGAGGACACCAACTGGATGCAGCAGAAAACTGCACCTCTAAAAAAAATAAAAATAAAAAAAATGCTTGTGGGCAATAATGCAGCCTTGATCAGTGTTTCACTGAGTGGGATGCCTTAAGGATTTGGAGGATGATGCTCTCTGGGCAAAGCTGTCTTTAGGGCAAGTCCAAGCCAAGTCTCAAGTCTTGTCAAAGCAAGTTCTAACTCACAAGGCCTTGAGGGGAAGAGCAAGTTAATTATAAGCAAGTTGGCTGCAAATCTTTCAGGCTTTTGAATGCTGACCATAAATGCTGTAAATTTTTTTGTAACATTTTCATTTCAAACACGTGTTAATAGAGTAGTTTGTTCCACTGGACAATTCCAATAATTGAATATCAGAAATGTGTGGCCATGCAAGGCCTTACTATCACAGTCTCAGACATTAAGGAGTCAGCGAAGTCCAAGTCCTCATTTTTCGACTTCAGAGTGCCACAGGTCTAAGGTACATAAAATTGATACACAAACTTGTTAGCAAACAGTTGCTTATTTACACATCCATCAGAGAGGGAGCAACATTAATATTGATTTGAAGTCATATTTGTGTCCACATGATGAATCTTCTTACGTCCATTCCTGGAGGAAATATCTGGCTCTTGAGCTGCTGAATGCTCCACTGGGTTCATCAGATAGTCGCTAACTGTGTCCGTCTGCTGTTTGGTGTGTACAGCAGCATACAGCTGCCTGCTGAGGCTAAAAGCAAAGCCGATGAGAGCTGTGAGCGTGAATCAAAATATTATCACATATTTCGGGCCCTGTTGTGGTGATCAAAATGAAAGCAAGCATAAATAAAAGACGACAGAAAAAAAAGAAGCATTTTGGGTGTTACAGAGACTGAGGCATCTCGGGAAGACACAGGAGGGAGTAGGCAGAGGAGCTTTCAGGCTTGGCAAGAGAGAGCTTTGCAGCGTCAGACAGACAGACAATCAGGCACACTGAGTCACTCAAAGACTGATCCCCGATCCTAAAACCTCATCTCCCCTTTGGCCTCCTCCCTAGCCCCCCCCCCACCCACCCTGTCCTCTCATCCCTTCATCCCTCGCAGCCATCCGCCTCACTTCCTCCCCTCACTACCCTGAAGCCAGGCTTTGGACTGTTTTTTCACAAACACACACACACTAACACACACTAACACACACACACACACACACACACACACACACACACGACACCACATCAGGACCCTGAAGACTACATCTCAGGCCCAAAGCGTTCTCCCAAGTCAATCCTGGTGTTGACGAAATCAGGCGAAAGGGGTGATTGATGAGACGGATTGGATACACCGCTGTAGAGGGAAAAGTGAGACTGAGGATCTCGCTACTCTCCCACGCCACCTCCGCTACCCCGATGATGACATCACCGCGGCCAGAGACCTTCAAGCTGCGACTGTGATTAAGTGCGATTAGTTCTGTCTGGGGCTGACAGATCCCACCGGATTTCAAACTAGAAAAGAGTTTTCTGGCTGTTGAAAGTTTAAGAAAGAGAACAAGCATGGGAATGTTTCAGTGTGTAGGCATTTTTGTTTTTGTGTACATGTACAAAGACTGAACAACATTTTCTACAGCAGAAGTAGAATGTTAGCTAACATTAGCCACCATAAGCTACTGGTCATAACAGACCGACCAGAATTGATAGAATTGTGGTTCTAGCAGCAAAATCTGCATGTATTGAATAGAGCAAGGTTGCGTTTTACTGCTAATGAATTCTCTAATGTGTAAGAGAAATAATATGTTATTCTTTTTTTTTTTAAGTTACATAGTTGTGGAAATTCTTGAGATTTGAAGAAAAGACATTCACCGGGAGCTCAGAAGTATTTATTCTAAGCTTGACGTCAAGGTGGAAATGATGAGCGGCACAATGCAGTTGTGAATCAGAGTAATGCCACATCAGTGATGTCCAGACTTATTTCTTGGAGTGTAAGTGTGGGCCTACAAAATAAGAAGAGTAGAAGGAAAATTCCTTCACACAATACTTTGGTTTATGTCTGGTAATATCTGACACATACATAAACTGACATCATCTTCATCTTCACGTGTACTGAAAATGTTAGTATGCTTAACTAAGATGGTTAACATGTTATTGTGGACATTAGCATTTAGCTTACATGTGTCTCAGCACAGCCTCACTGTGCCACTAGCATGTCTCTACATTCTTAGCTTTGTTGGGAGATAAAGGTAGTTTGAGTCAGTTGAGCTTAGTTTGGCTTCATTCGAATTTTTTTAATCTTGATAGATGTCAATCAGTATGTAATGATATACTAAATATGCAAATTAGTGCACAACACTATCTAGCGACATTTTGAGGCGGCTTTAGCTACTTTCCATTGAAAATTGTTGACAAAATTGCTTGTAGTTGGAGCACCTGAGAGATGAGTCTGAGACAGTATCCATTTAAAGCGCAACAAGATATTTGGTTTGGGGAAGGAAGGAGGCGGCATATTCACACACACAGTGAGTGCTTGCTTGTTTTTGTTGAATATCACAGTAATTTGCTCCAGTTGCAGATCACTCCAGTGGAATAATGTTGTAATCAGTACAACTCCTCTGAGATCAGTTGTGTAGATTTTGATCCCCCGTGTCAACGCGACAAAATTTGAGACTCAAAAAGGTTATGTACTGTAAGCAGTGCAGCAATTTTTTGTAGTCACACAAGCACACACACAGACACACCACACATGTCTCTGCACTGTGAGTGAAAGCAAACCACCGACTCATATTTCAATTTCAGACACAAAGCGGTGCTGAGAGACTTCCTCACAATCTTCATCTACCCCGCGTTCACCCTGTGGAGGTGGCACTGGGTGGCACGCAGGGTGGTACAAGGCCTCAGCTGGCCACATAAACCAGGGATGACAGAGAGATTGTATTCGACCTCTTCGCTCACCCGAAACATGATGAAGCCCTCTGCTTTCTCAGAGGGGAGAGTCACATTGGCAGGATGACTTTAAAAAGTCTAAACAATAATCCCTGTTCTCTCTCTCTCTCCCTAACACACACACACACACACACTAAAGCAAACTTTCATCTTTCCAAAAAGTGTCGTGCCTACGCCAACAGTGACACGGACTATAAAGTGCTGACTCGCTGGCCTCCCTGCCGATTGCCGCTCTGCTGGCAACGGAGCGTGTCCTGATAAATAAAGCAACAAATACAATGGAAAGAGAAAACGAGGGGAAAGAGAGAGAGAGCGACAGAGCGAGCAGGAGAGCATGGAGGGCTATAATTAGTATGTGATTAACGAGCAGGCTTCAGACAGGTCCCACATCATTGATTGTGATGTTGTGCAATGCTGCTGCAGCGAAAACGAGCTGGCCCTGGGAGGGGGCACCGAGGTCACCGCTCACACACAAACACACAGAAAAGTGTTTGTTCTTAGTGCAAGATACATCCAACAGTCATTAATGAGAAGATGAAGGTAAAGCACATAATGTCAGCTAGGTTGTGGCCGTGCGAGACTCACTTGAAAACAAAGGATCCGAGCATTAAAACTTGTACTGAAAAAAACGCTTTGTTGTGAGTTTTAGCTCCTCGAATAGAAATCATAGAGTTTTTAATGTATTTTGACAAGGAAGCTCGTGGAAGCTACGCATTTCTGTTTAGTATAAATTCATTAAAGAGTTGTGACATGTTCTTGAGTTGTGTAATTGAACGTAAATCAAGTTTACAACCCTATCTACTATTCATTTTTGTCAGTATTACAGCATTGTTGCATGGTAATGCAGTTTAAGTGCAAACTGATTGAAGTCTGCACAGCATACTTCCTGAGAACTGACTAAATTACATCCACAACATTAAGTATTGAAAAGTGTAAAGTATCAAAAGTTAGCATTGATTGCTTGGTGAGATTCTTATTTACCTTCTCTTCAGATATTTCCTCATCTAACATCAGAAAACATAGCTATATGTTTATTTATTTATTTTGTTTTTTATTTTATATTGATGCAATAAGGATACTGAAGAAAGAGGACATTTTGGCATTGGACATTAAAAAACACTGTAATTTAAGTAATCAGTAGGTGCATTTCCATTAACCTTTTTAATGCGCAATTTGAAACTGGGGACTTAAAAACAAGTAGCGAAAACAGGAGAATTTCACAAAAACTCTCAAATCTCGTAAAAGAATTTATATGCTCGCATAAGGTGGTTTATCAGACTATTCAACAAAGCAACATTTCGCAAAACTGAAACGGGATGAGACACTTTTTTCACATTTAAGTCGTAGCACCTGCCGTGTCATGCCCCACAGACCCAGTTCCAACCAAGAGACAGACTGCTGTCATGTTTCACAAGCAAGAGATTTCAGGCCCCTACCTCAGAGCAATAATGTAATGTTAAAAAAAAAAAAAAAAAAACATCATGCAGACTTGATATGAACTGTAATGGATAACACAACTCATTAATGGAGGCATCATCTCAAAGTTCAAATGAAAGAGCGGCTCAGTAGTTCAAAAGGACAAATGTGGTCATATAAAAGGATGGCTGAGCAAGGCAAACAAGCTCACTCTGATGCACTTCTTTAGTGAAATTTCATTAGTTAGTTTGATCGGCTCAGTTGATAACTGTCTGTAACTGACTGTTGTCTTCATTCAAAGCTGCAGCCCCAAACCAGTTTATAAATGTTGGTGCAAATCAAAAGGTGTGTGACTTGAAAACAACAGATGGAACAAGTGAAGGTTAAACTGCCATCTTGCTTGCATCTGTGTCTGCCTCCTCTACAGTTTCTGCTTTTTCAGCCCCCATACTCTCACCCTACCCCATCTCTCTCTCCCTCTCATCCCTCCCTCCCTCTGATGATGAGGCAGGCAATGCTAAGCGAAATTTCAAGCTCAACTGTCAGACAGAAGGAGTATAAAGAGAGGTACAGGGAGGAAGAAATGCTGAGGGAGGCAAAAACAGAGGAGAGTCTTCCCTCTCCCTCCCCTTTCCTTCTTTCTTTCTCTGATAACTGGTCAGATGCCAACATCAATGTACTTTACTGTATGGCTGGGCGGGCACAGAGAGTGCTGGCCCGTCATGCGTGGTGTAATGTCACTCTGTCCTTGCTCCCATTCTTTAGCCTGCCAAGCTAATGATGATGATGATGACAATGAGAAGGAGGAGGAGGAGAAAGAGAAGGGAACACTTAGGAACTTGGCTCGACCGCTCGTGGCGTAGATTTCTGTGACGGAGGGATGAGATTGGCTTCGCCAGTTTGCATGTGGAGGCTGCGAGTTTGTCAGCAGCAAGGGGAGGGGAGGTGTGAACATGTGCATGCAAAAAAAGGTTTTAGGCTTAAGGGACCATTAGCGTGTACATGTGCTTTCTTTCACACCTACCTTGTCATTGTTGTAGTAGGCCAGACTCTCACCATCGAATCGCACCCACCTCCTTTGAAAAACACATTTTCTGCGAATAAAAGGTGAAAAGTTGAGGTGAAAATATGTAATAAACCCCCAAATTCAATCCATCAGTCTCATTGGCTTATAAACCAAACAAAGTCAGTTTTTTCAAAAAAAAAAAAAAAAAAACACATCCAAAACTGTCAAGACAGTAAGCCAGTAACTAAATCTGCTCTGAACAGGTACTCATATTTCATCAAGAGTGCCACTGATTCAATAATGTCAAGAGTTGTATCAACAGCTGCCAATTAGCATAATCAAAACAAATGGCTACTTTCAGTTTGAATATTCAACAGCCCAAGGGCAGTTTGCCAAACCTATGCAAATGAGGTGGTGAAGGAGAATATAAAAAGGAAGTCAGTGATTGATAGCTCTGGCTTAGAGCAATGGTGAAACATGGAGCACCAAGAGACTCTGGAAAGAAAATGCAGTTTTGCCAGGGAGGCCAAACTAAGCAAAATAATGAACGACATAATATGCATCTCAGTGCTACGAAGTTATCTCCCTTCTTCTCTTCCTATCCTTCCAATAGGGCTATTCATTATGGAAAGATCTCCTTCGGGCTTCTGTATCTAATACCATTTATCAATTTTAAATAATCATCAAAGATAGACGACACATGGGGAGATGGGGCAGCAGGGGAGAGTGCAGAATGGAAACAGTCTGCATGGAAACAGGAAGTAGTGGTTGGAGACTCTTGCACTGTGGTTCTTTGCCACTTGACAGGTGGTGGCAAGATGCATATGTTCATTTGTTGGGGTGAAAGGTTGCACACCAAAACTCAGCAAGAACATGCACTGATGTTAACAGGAGATAAATATTTATGACCGACAATCCCTTTGCAATATGGAGCTGCAGTAAAACCGGCAGTCATGAGGATTTCATACAGACCAGCGTATCATTACATCAGATAAAGAAGGAATTTCTAAATTCTGATCATCTGAGCAGAATCTCTAATCACATTTACCATCCTCGGCAGCACTGTAACTTACCCTTGAGGTGACAGTTTGTCCAGCCAGCCCACTTTGAGCACCTGGTGTTTGGGCGCTCCATAGAAGCATGCATATGGAGAAATATCAGGCAATGCATTTCTGCTCACACCCCCCAGGGCTTCTGCAGGCTCTGAGTAGAGGTCACAATCCACCATGATCAAGGATCCATCCTTAGGGCCAGAGGCAACTGGACCAACGGCAAGAGTTTCAGGGGTCAGGGTGAAACTTTGGTCCGAAATGGCTCGCGGCAAAATGCTGACACACTCATCCACTGTTGAATACTCATCTTTGTAGCGGTCTGCGATAGCTGGAGCTGGTGGAGAACCTTTGTCCTTTGACGCTTTTTGTTTAGGTGACTTTTTCCTGCATGAACACAGATAACAAAATGTGTTGGGTGACTATACATTCATCTACTAAACTGATACTGATAAGCAGTTAAATTTATGAGTTAATACCGGCAAGAAGAACATTGTTTCTCTGCCCTTTGTTGTTGAAAATTTCAAACCTTTCATTAGCATCATCGCTAGGTGTGGTTGGATGATAATTAGCGTGCTCTGTTGCACCTGTAGCCACACCTAACAGTGAGGTAATGAGGAGTACACTTCCTCATTACTAACTAACTAGTAAGTAATCTTTAAAGTACGTTGCATCTTCTAAGGACAAGCTGCTAAAGAATTTTAACATAATTACAGAACTTTACTAACGCAATGTTCTTTGAGTCCTGTTGGACAGAAAACAAACTGAATGGGCCAAAACCAGAGAAACAGGACCCTTATCTGTAGTTCTACTGTCTCTGTACAGCGTAAAGGGGTTTGTTTGTTCAGATTAATTGTAGTTTAATGTAAAACGTGCAAATAACAGTAGAATTACCATTAGTTACGGCAGAGAACGTGGGCTGGGTGTTAAAGATAGTTGCACATTTGGCAGAATACACTGCCACGAGGTAGCTGAATAGCTCAATACCACAGAGAACTGTTCACGAAGAAATTGTTACAGCCCATATTGTAACTCCCCTTAAAACCACCCTTTTTTAGATCTTTGTTTGTGTCCTGATTAACAATTGTGATGCAACATGTTAATTAATGCTTTAGGGATGCCAGTAGGCCTAGTTTTGAACTTGGAGAGAGCCGGGCTAGCCGTTTCTCCATCCTTCCTGTCTTTCTGCTAAGCCAATAAGAGTGTACAGACATGAGTGTGGTATTGATCTTCATACTTAACTCCCGGCATGAAAGTGAATGTGCACATTTCCTGAAATTTCAAACTATCGTACATCTAAGGCAGGAAATGTATAGTTATTCCCCTCAAATCACCCTGACTACTTGATGATTTTGAATGCAGCTGAAGAATTGCATTTATTGTTGTACTGCAAACACCATTGTGGCCACATATTTGCATCTGAATATTGACCATTTAAATACATCAAACTAACTTGTGAAGATGCATGTAAGCAGATGAAATATTTTGGCAGCTGGAGCTTAAGAAGTGGTTAACACCACAGTAGATTTGCATAGTTGTTGTTGTCCTACTTTGAGAAAGCATGTGACCTTTAACATAGTGCTACATAACAATATAAAATCTTATTATTTTATCTGATGTTACACTGAGACTGAGACTGCTGACCTCAACAGCATTGTTTATGGTCAGTTCTCTTTCTCAACATTTGAATTTCTATTTATGCATCTAGAGCATGGGACACCAGTATTACTTCAGAATACTATACCTCTGTTTCTTCTGCTTTATCATGTCCTTAAACCCCTTCTGTAAACCCTCTTTAACACCTTGGTCCTGTAGAGCACAAAAGAGATTAGCATCAAATGAAAAAAAAGCATCCATCTTTCAGTCAGACACTGTTATCTTGTTGCTGCACTAAGCTATGTTAACTTTAGGGCTAGGTGACATTTCTATTAACCTCGCGGGGCAAACTGAAACAAGCACATTTTCCACTCTGTTATGCGTTCATGGTGACAATATTAACACTGAGAGGGAAGTTTGGTGTGCAGGCTGTGGCTGAAACACGGCTGATAGTGTTGAAGATCTGAGAAATGTCTGTTCCTCTTTGGTAAGCTGCTACTCACTGTCCACTAGTGGGAGTGTATGGTCTCTTACCGGAGGGCTTTCAGGGTTGTTGTACAGGAACATTTCTCCGTAGGGAGCAATAGGCGTCAGGGTTCTTTGAAGTGTAGCTAAAAGGACACAGAGACAACAAAATAGTGGTTTTGTCATGGCATTGAACCTTGCCGAACACAGTGTGAAGGCCTAAACATGATGCTTGAAAAGTAAGGAGCTTAACAGGATTGTTCCAGTTAAATTTCAAATCACTCAGATGTTATAGTGCCCTTTGCTTTAACCAACTCATTGATCTGAATAAATGTGCCAACCTTTGATCCATGCAAGCAGTAAACCAATTAAATTTTGTTTTAGCATGCCTATCTCTCTTCCTCTGCCCCTTTCCTCGCCCAACTGGGAGTATGAGCCTCCTCAGTCCGCCTCAAACTGACTGAGCCTCTTCCAAGGCCATTTCTCTGTCTTGGTTCCTGCAGGGACCATGGTCGGTGGAAGACGAAGAAGAAGAGCGGAGAGACTCTGGCCAGACACTATTAGTCTGGAGACCTGGGGCCACCCTGCGTGGGCTCCTGCCTGTCTCTGTGAAAAATGACACCACCCTCTCCTGAGGATTGCAAGGGCCAGAAGACACAGCCACAGGGCTAGACTCACACATAGACACCGGTGGAGGAACAGATATGCACACAGACAGTGGTGTACAAAGATCGAAATACCCTCAGACACATGAAGATGCCTTGAGAGAAACAGAGACATAAAAGGATGAACAGTCAAATAAGCGAAGTCTCACACTCACACCGTTACAGATGTGAATCGACTACATTTTAAAGCTTTACAGACACAGAACTCCAAAACAATGTGGGCCATTACAGAAGGGCACAAAGGGCATGTACCAGACTTGGTACATTTTATGAAGGGGTCAGTTTATTTGATGATAGAATCCACTCCAACACAGTGGCCCTCGCTACCAACGGGCTCGGTGGGCAGATGGCAACCATCAATCATCATCTATCAGCTGACCTTCAGGCCACTCGCGATTCTCTCTGAGGGCCACTGGACGCCACTGTACTCAATTCCTGTCTGATTCCCTCTATTCTTCCCTCGCTGGCTCCATCTCTGGCTTCTGCCTTTGTTTCTCTCAGTGAACCACACTGCTTCTTTATCTGTTCATGACCTGACTCACTCTCAAGTCGCAGTCTGTGAAGCGACCTAAATGCAGCCATCAGCGCAGAGTTACCGAGGAGATTGATTTTGTTCTGAATGAGGCCTCCCTGCTTTTAAGTCAGGGGGTTACAGGTTAGTTTGTTATAATCACTTATATGTGTCTCTCCCACAGCAGAGCACAGAGAACACAAAACTGCCACCAACTGAATTTAAATTAGTCAACAAAAAATGTGTTGTTTCCCAAATGTACTAGTGAATAGTTTAAGAGTTTTTTCTACTAAATGACAATAATTAATGATGTTGAGAATAATGGTTATTATTATTATAGTTATCATGATTTTTTAGTTCGTTTTTTTACTAATGTATTAAGTTCACAGTAGAAAGAAGTTTTGCAGTGGAATATTGAAGTAGTATTACAAATGAGCCAAAATCATCCTCAAATGAAGACCATGTATGCAGCTGAAAGCCCCTGAAAAAAGGAAAGTGGACTTTGATTACAGATTTTTGTTGTTTTAAGTGGTAAATAGCAAAACTTAGCTAAAAGCTAATATTTTTTTGGTTTGTTTTGCATCTTTTTCTATGAAAAATGTCAATCATGACAGAGTACATTAAACTTGTAAGGTCAGACTTAAACTGATTTTATAGAATAAATGAGGGAGAGTATAATCTTTTTGTATCTAATAGCTTATTCTTTGTCCTTTTTTTTCCTCTTGCTTTTCCAAATTAAAAATAAAATAAAAAAAAAAGAAAAGAAAAAGATATCTTCCAATAGCTTGTTTTGTCTGACCAACAATCCACAACACAAAGGTTTTACATTAATACCAATATAAAACTCGCTTATCTAGAAAGCCTTAGTTGCACTAGCATTCTTCCTCTGGCTACTGTGGTTAGTGCCAATGTGTGCGTGTGTGTATGTGTGTGTCTGTGTGTGTCTGTGGCTTAGGGTGTACACACATTTGTAAGTGTATTGTACACTGTAGTGTATGTACAAAGTCTGGCACTTGAGATTATGTATGTATGTCACTGTACGATCAAAGGCCCTGCAAAGTAAAACTATTTTAATAATTGAATAATTGAATATTCTGCCCAGTCTGCTGTGCTGCTACAGCTGCTGAAGAAGCAATACACAGAAACGTGTTTTCGCAATGAGATTTTTCTCGTGAAAGAAACTTATTTATAAAAGAGGATGTGTGAGGGTGTTAATTAAAATTCTGCAAGCCTCCAGTAACAAGTTTTGATTGAATACAACAATCATTCTGTGAGACTACACTGCACAATTTTTTTTAAAGTTCTGGATCTCATCTTGGAATAAACTCTTCAAATATGCTCGGGTAAAATGCTAGACCTTGCTGTGAAGGGAGTTTTAGCTTGCTAGTCAAGCTCCCCGTTTCCCTGCTCTGGGACCGCCTCGCCTCCCTCTCTTCCTCCGTCTCTCAGTCTGTTTTGCATCCATCTCCTCTTCCTTCCTCCCAACCCACTTCACTGTCTTGCCTTTCTCTCTAGTCTCACTGTCTTTCCTTTTCTCTCTAGTCTCACTCCCTGTCTTGTTCCATACAGAGAAAAAGTTGGCAAAACAAGGTCTACCGAGATATCGCTGCGTTGAAGGTACACGGAACAAGGATGGAAGGGGAGGCCAAAAAAGGAGTGTGAGGGGAGATGAAGCAAAAAAAAAATTGGACAGAAATCTGTTGAATCCGTAGCATGAAATAATGTCACAATGTGGTCATATATTGTCTCAAAGTGACTGACATCTTCACGGGTGTTAATGCATTCATACAGACTGTCCTCACAGAAAGGAGCCATATAATCCTAGGAGAACACGATTACCTCAGCACAGCACGCAGCTCACGTAGTATCTCGTCAGATGAGGGTTGACTAAGCCCAGTAAATACAGCTAGGGAGGAGGCAAAATTCTAAACATATTTGTTCTGGTTGTACTACAAGCCTGTGTGTTGTTAGCAAAGTTAAACAACTTCTGAAAAACTTTGGAGAGCTGGGCGACAGGAATACACACTAGGGTCTTGCTGAGGGATAAGATGTGAGGGAGCATATTCCCTCTGAGATGAGTGCTTGAAACAGGGGCAACACCTTTTCCCACGACACTGGTGCCGAACACCCCCACCCCACCCACGCACTACCCTCACCTCGTCTCCCTTCTTTCATCCGGGCAAACAACAGCACTGCTGACTCTACTGCTGAATGAAATATTCATGGCAGAGACGAAGCGGGTGCAGCTAAAAGACTGTGTGTACCTTTCCGTACGCCGTTTGCACCAGTGGGACCTTCGGAGCCAGTTAGGTGTTCAGGGCTGGTTGTTTGTGCTGGTGGTGTGCTCCTGAGGAGGAAGAGAAATCAGTGAATTGGAACCACCAGTACAGCACGTGGGGAAAAACAGGTAACACTATGTAGACGTAAAGGCCTTCAGAACAGAGATCTCACAGTTAGTTTAAGAGTTCAAAAGTTCAACAATATACATTAATGTACATGGAATGGAGAAGTGAATATGAAATTAGAGGCCTCAGGTTCTCCAGCGCGTGAATCTGAATGCAAAGTGAAAAATTCATTCATGCCGTAGCAGCATACAAGTATATTTCTCCAGGTGCTTTTCACCTTGCTGTTCTAACTTATGTGATGAGTTCTCAGAACTTTCATAAAGTCAAACTTTGTGCTTAAAGGAGTAGCTTTTGGGATATACACTTATTCGCTATCTTGCTGAATTAGGTGAGAAAATCAATAACACCAACAACACCACAATCATATCTTACAATAAATATGAAGCTAAAACTGGCTGCTGGTTAAAAGAGCTTAGCAGAAAGACTCAAAAAAGGAAGAAACAGCTGGTATGGCTCTGTCCAAAGGTTAAAAAAAATCCTATTCCTTGGAGGAATAGTTTGACATTTTGGGAAATGTGCTTCTGAACTTTCTTGCAGAGTGTAAGATGACCGCATTGACACCACTCTCCACTGTCCATACAGTAAATATGAAGCTATAGCCAGGGCCTAGCTTGGCTATAGAATGAAAACAAGGGGAAACAGCTAGCCTGGCTTTGTCCAAAGATGAAAAAACTGCCTTCCAGCAGCTCTTAAGCTATCTTAATCAACACATTACTTTCATCTTGTTTGTTTAATCCAGACAAAAATTATGTAGTAAAACATCAAGTAAAAACGTCATCATGTCTGCACAGCAAGCTACAGCCAGAAGCCTGTCAGCTTAGCTTAGCAGAAAAACTGGAAACGAGGGGGGAAAAAAAGCTAGCTTGGCTTTGTCAAAAGGTAACAATGGGAAATACACTTATTTACTAGCTTGCTAAGAGTAAATGGTGCCAAGTTTTCTCTGTATCTCTACCTAGCCAACATTAGCATAAACAGTTGTTTACTCATCAGTCTAGAAGAAAGTTCTACCTCAAACTTCATTTCTTTACTCGCCATGAACTGTCTCCAGTTGTTGTTGTAGTTGCTCCAGATGCTTTCATTTCTGTCACTTCTTTTCTTCTGTCGAAGTTAGCATACTAAACTGCTAGCCCCAACCCGCCCTGTCTCATAATACTACTCTGCAATAGCGTGTCACTGTGGCGTCCACTCAGTTCAGTATGTGAGGATGGAGAAGTAGTGCTTCTCAGATGGCATATTCTAAACTCTTGTCTTGGAAACACAACAATGGCTGAAGCTCTTGCCAACCAACCATCACCACCACCACCCTCTCCTGACAAAAAAAACACATTCAGCAGCAGAGAAAACTTAATACTGCACCTTTAACCAGGGTTCCCACGCCCTCTTAAACTTTGATGCTTCAATGTGCGAACTTTTCTCAATTGTGCTGTTGTACAGTGATGGCAGACTATGTGGTCTCTTGCTTTCTCTAGAATATTGATACCAATCTCATATCTGTACCATAAATCTAAAGCCACAAGCAGCCGTCTGTTAGCTTAGCTTAGCACTGAAAGACTAGAAACAGTGGAAACAGCTACACTGACTCTGTACTGTTGTTTTTACACTTCATTTATGCTGTATCCTCTTATATGCGCTTTGATGTGATTTAGGTTGCTTTCTGTGTGTTTGCTTCTTTTAATGCATAACATCAACCTGTAGAGATTGGAAATGAAATTCAGCATTTTTGATCATATTGATATTAATTAATGTGTGTTCTCCCTGATAAATAAATGAATAAAGTGAAGATTAAATTAGCATGTAAATAGTGAGTATTAGAGGTGCTGGTCGGTGGCTTTTGTTACCCTCAGACAGTCAAGCTAGACATTTCTTCCTTTTTTTTTTTTTAAGTATATCTACTAAGCTAAGCAAACTGGCAGCTAGCTGTAGCTTCATATTAACCATAGAGGTATCAATCTTCTAAACTATGCCCTTAACTATGCATCAGCAGGTAAATGAATAAGCGAACAAGTCTTTATTAACTTAAACAGGCCTTTACCTGTCCTGAAATGGTGGTATTGTCTGATACGGGATTTCAGGAACGGGCCGGTGCCTCAGCCTGTAGGAGCGAGTGAGCCGCGGACCGCCAGGAACCTTAAAACAAGGCTGTGACTCATAGATGGAGTTCTCCACCATTTCACCATGAAAACTCCCATGGCCCTCAGTCACTGTTAGGTTGGGTATTTCAGCAGAACAGCGGACAGAGTCGCTGCTTGACAGGGAGGGGTCCTCTGAGCAAATTTCCCAGTCTGAAGGCATTTCTGAAATGCAGATGGATTCACTGCTGCTGCTGCTGCTGGAGGACACAGAAGGAGGGATGCTGGTATGTACAGACATGGATGTTCGGATGTTCTGGGGATTACGTGGGGCCGGTTTAGGCGGGCCGAGGTATCCGTCCTCCATTTCTGTTCCCAGTCCTGCTCCTGGAGGCAAAGTCTGACTCCCCTCCAACTCATATTCCATCCTCTCCTTTGGCTGATGGTGCTGACATGAAGTCCCCCTCGTTTTATCTTTTAGAAAGATATGCCTCGGATGTGGCACCGGCTTCCTCCGGTGCCTCCCGTTCTCTACCCCTCCCTCTTCCTCTTCTTCCTCATCCTCTCCACCGCTCTGAGGCTTCACCCCTCGTGCTTCCAAACTGCGGAGGATGCGCCTCCGATGGCCTGTTGGAACCACTTTAAGCTCCACAAGGCGCTCTTCTGTGATGTCCTTGCAGTCTTCCAATGTTTGGTATCCTCCCTGCTGGAAACATGAGGTATACTGGGACAGGCGGAGGGTGGCCAGCCACTCCACAATCTCCTGACTGGGCTCTGGAGGCTCCAACATGGTGCTCTAATTCCAATTCTGCCACATCAGGAAGACCTTTAGAAGATGTAGCGGTCCAGCCTTAAAACCAAGACACAAAAATAGATAAAAATAAGTAATGGTTGAAGAAGAATGCTGTAAAGTTAGGAAGCTGCATGCAACATCAAACAGAATATAATCTTTAATTTAAGATGACTCCACTCTTGTACCATAGACAGGATTATTAACCTTTGAAATATCCATTAACTCTAACAGGAATAATTTAAAATATCTGTTAGGCTCCAGTGATATTCATTTTTCTACAAGCCCAAATTATCCAAAGTGGATATTGATTTTGTCTTAGGGGGAAGTCTTGCAGGTTAAAACTTAGGGGTTGAATTTCAGCTCTAAATATCACATTGATGGCATTTATCATCTGTAGCTTTGAAATTATGACCCCATTAACAGAATAGTTTGACATTTTGGGAAATACATTTATTCACTTTCTTACCAGGAGTTAGATGAGAAAAGTGATACATCCGTCACACCTCTCCATTAAATAAGCCTGGAGACAATTAGCTTAGCTTAGCATAAAGATTGAAAACAGAGGGATAAAGATAACCTGCCTCTGTACTAAGTAACAAAAAATCTGGCATATCTGCATCTCTAAAGCTTACTAATCAACACCTTCTATCTTGTTTGTTGAATACATTCAAAAACCAAATTGTAAAAACAAGTTGCAGTTTTGCCAGGGATGTTTGTGGCTATTTGAAAAAATACTATTCAGCATGGTAATTAGTAAGCTTTAAAAAAAAAGAAAAAAAAAAGAAATGCAGATATTTCTTTTCTTCTTCTTAATCAGGCCAGCTGTTTCCTCCTGTTTCCAGTCTTTATGCTAAGCTAAGCTCACCATCTACTGGCTATAGCTCAATGGTTACCAAACAGACGTGAGAGTAGTATTGATAATCTAATGTGCTCTCAGCAATGAGAACAAGCTTATTCCCCACAAAGTCTTTTCTTTTAAGCTTACTCTGAAAAGATCAAGATGCATGTAGTGTACATTCAACAACAAGTGAGCACACGCGCACACACACACACACACACACACACACACACACACACACACACACACACACACACACACAGCCAGACCTATATTTGCAACACCACTCCTGGATGAAACAGCAGGAAACAGCAATATCTATGAGGAAATAGCATGCCATTTTGTTAAGAGACCAACCTTAAGGTCTGCAAAAAAACTGAAAGGCCAGTTTACACAGCTCACATCTTTGTTAGAACCCCTTTTTTCTGCAGCACTTACCACAGCAGAGTTTTAAAATTCACACTTTACATTGCAGCTCACTGCATGGCAACATATAATAACCCTGCTAATGGAAAGCTGTTGTTGAAAGTCTGTTTGTTGGTGCTTTCACGCCATCTCTTCAAAGTCAAGCCCTATTTCTATATCTCCTACACTATCTCTCTCTCCCACACACTCACTCACATGAGCGCACACACACACACACCCACCCACACACATACACACACACACACACACACACACACACACACACACACACACACACACACACACACACACTTGAAACTCACAGGAAGATACATCATCATCAACATCTTGTCATGTCCACTTCTCCTCTTTTGAGTTCAGTGCACAGGAGACATGAAGTGTTACTTCTGCTTTCAAGTAAATATAATGTTGTAGCATGCATATACATTGGAGTGTTTTACTAGCAGGTCACAGAATTAACATGAACAGAGCAGGCCCAGTTCCTGTAGCGGTTTTACATGTGAACCTAGTATACAGCTCTGATGTACTTTACAATCTAAGGCAAATAAGATGTGCTCATGTATGTTCAGATGCTAGAAAGACACATTTCATTTTGTGAGTACAGTCCCTGCTCAACACAAGACTGTATTAAGTCCTCATAATAGAGGCCTATACAGTCTATCAGACCAGCCCAGCTGTGTATTGCAGTGTTAACATGCAGGGACCTGTGTTGGCTGTTAGCCAACACAGGCACACGCCAAAGCTTTCTCGTGCATTTGACCTGGCCTTTGAGGGCCATTGACCCTCTGCCTTTTAGCGCTTCTACACCCACTCACACAACTGCACGCCAACACAAACTACACACACTACAGAGCACACACTTTCAACAAACATTATTAAGGGCTGGATATAGGAGTTTTGATCCACAGCTACTGCCCAGTGTCAAAGCCCACAGAGTGCAGATCAATAGGAGAGAGCAAAAAGAGAATTTCACAAGATAAACAGCTTGCAAACATGCCACATGGGCATGGGAACATATGAAGTGGCGTGTGTGCAGACATAAAGACACCTCTGAAGGCAGCACACACACCAACACATTAAGAATGTGCACAACTCGCTCACATACAATAAATTTATTAGAACAAAACAAAACCAAAATCCGAAAGCATGGCTGCCAGCACAGAAGAGGTGCGTGCCTGTGTGTATTACACCCAACGCACAGTGCCTTCTACAGCAACCTAGGTATGCTTATACGGAGTGAGTCACAGCAAGCACGCCCATGCATGCGCACACACACAGCTACTGTACCTCACACATCTGCACATCCCTCTGCCAATCAACGCTGAACAAAGTCCGATATGTGCATTCCCTTCCTGGTTTGAGAAAAATACCTGTGGAAGTTTTACAATTTATGTTCCCTACTGAAATATTGTAAAAATATTAAATTGTGTTTTGAGGATAACTGTAACACACACACACACACACACACACACATACACACACACACACACACACACACACACACACACACACACACACACACACTTAATCTAAATGTGTAGCAAAAACCACAAGTGCTGAGTTATTTTGGCAGGAGTTACATTAGTGGTTCGCACGTGTGTAAGGTGCTAATTTGTGTGTTTAAACTTACGCCCAAAACGGTTTTTACACCACTATCAATATAACTGGTTGACGCAGGTTTACTTCACTTTCTTTTGACACTTATTTTAATAAGCTTAAACTACCTGGGAGTGATACAAATAGCTTCCAACACTTCCAGCCTAGCTTAAAAAAAGATAATTAACTTAAGCTAGTTTATGTCAGTCTCGTGCCCACTTTAACAAGCTTTGATGGATAAAAAAACAAACACTTGAAGTCGGGATGCTGACGGAACACGCTACCGTGCGTCCGGTAGTTTCACCAAAGCTTACCTGCTGGTTAAAAACAGGAGGAAACCTCTGGCTTCACCCGCACACCTTGTCTTCTGTTTCTGTCACATTACACCGGTGTGAGTATCTGTATCGGCCTGTCGCAGCTGTCCTCACAGCATGCTTATACACACTCGCCTGTTTCCGTTCCCTCTCTCTCTCTCTGTTCAGGCGTTTCAGAGCAACTCCACGCCCATTTCAGCGAAGGGCCTGGGGCTCAGCGACAGCAGAGGCATGAATTGCAGAAGTACAGTCCTCACCTTGCCTTAATTTGTGCTGCCACTATAGCCAAACACTGCAGGCTGTGACAGTGTTAATGTTGCTGCTGGACTTAGTTGCAACACTCACCATTAATCTCTTTGAGCTCTGATTTTTCTAAATAAGACTGTTTCCACTTTTAAAAAAGAAGAAAGAAAAAAAATGTGTGCATGCTTGTGTGAAGCATTGGAGGGCAGCAAAGTGGAGGAACTTGTGATGTTTTGCTGGGAATACATGGCATGTCCCAGCTTGATCCTGAGGCCCCAGGCTATGCATTCAGCAGAGACAGGAATGCATCAGGCACTGGTGGAAAGTAACTTAGTATATTTACTCAAGTACTGTAAATATACTAGACAGATAGTAGACAGATAGTAGACAGCTTTAATTACTTATTACACAATGGATAGTGTAACAAGCTTATAAAATACAACACATTGTTAAAGATTAAACCAGTGGTTTACAAACTTTTTTTATTTCTGACTTCTTACACAAAGCAGTGTGTAGTCAGGGTCACATTTCAGATGTCTGCGTTGTTAACAGCCTAATCGAATAGTGATTTTTTTTTCAACACTACTACTACTACTGTTAATCACCACCATCATCATCATCATCATCATCATCATCATCACAGGTTTTTGAAATAACATTTAATGTGACAGATTTTTTACCTTTATCTCTTAATCCAGTTGAAATGGTAGAAGATAAATAAATCAAATGAAAAATATATACATTTAAAATAGTAGTATAAAAACTACAAAACATAAGAAAGCATCAAGATAAAAGCACAAAGACCTGAAGTGCATGGGTCCATCAAAACCTAAGTAAACCTTAGTTTGGTCCCACATGGTCCCACACAAAATATGTAACACATCTGGGTGTTTGTTGTTCCACAAGTGAACATTATCAGGACAAATAAGTTAATAATAGTTTTCAGAATCAGCCACATGATGGTGACAGAGAGCTGCAGTACTGTGGCTTTCAGGCAACAAGGACTTGTCAGAGCTAACCATTGGTTAGCTATTATGTTATTTTGTTAGATGAATGTAAACATATCAGAAATCTGATCAGAAATTTTGATGCTATTCAACGATTAGTAAGGCCACTACAATTAAAGAAAAGAGCTCATATGAAAATTGGCCCCAATCTCATAAATTGAAGGGGAATTAGAGGGGGTGGCTTGTTACCCTGTCAGGGGGTCTTAACCTGGTTTACCCTACAGTTTGTAGTATAAGCCACATGATGGTGACAGAGGGCTGCAGTACTGTGGCTTCAGGTAACGATGACTTTAATGTCGAACAAAACTGAATTCTGTTTATCTGCTTCAGTTTCAGATTCCTGCTGTTGTGCATGCTGGCTCTCTGTCACACTGTCATGACTTAGTAGGATGCTCGAATATAACAGAGCCATCATTAAAGTTACATTAATGTTGTTACAGTGCTTTACTGCCTGCTGTGAAAACAGCCCATTGAGATTTGTGTGATGAAGGAAAACGATTTTCTTCAAATAAATAAAGATAATCAACAAACCAAAAAGGTTTATATTTCACTAATATGTTTTCTGGTAAATATATTTACATTGTCTTATTATCCTGTTGAATAAATCTAATCCAACTTTGACATTTCAAACCTGAGTTTAATTTATGGAACTTTTGTCAATCCATCCATCTTCTAAACCCAAATACTGTTGAAACACTGTACTCAAGTTTAATACAGAGGTCTAGTACTTGTACTATTATCATTTTATATTATTAATACTTGTATTGCACTACATGTTTGAGAGAAATATACCACTCACTTTTTTGTAATTAAGATTTTAACGAAAAAAATATGAGGAACTTATAAAATACAATGCAGCGCTTTACTTTGAAACAAACAAGTAGTCTATGAAGTACCTTCTAGTTGGCTATGCATCGACCCATTACATCATAATATAATGATATTCAACAATACATTATTGATAATATAACACTCTAAAGGAGTATTTCTGCATAATTAGTACTTTCGTTACTTTGAGACCATTTTGCTTATGATACTTATGTACTTCAATGGAGTAGTTTTAGACTGTGGTATTTGTCTTGAACTTCAGTAAAGGGTCTGAATACTGGATACTCCTTCCACTGTCTATGTCTTGGGACTGTAAAATCAGGAATTCCACTTAAAACAAAATGACATTCTACACAGTATTAAATTGCTCTAAAGCCACAATTTAATTCTATATCATCCTCCCCAACATACACAGGCCTTTAAAACACATGGCATTTCTGATATTTGAAATAAAAATAAAATGTGAAATTCTTCACTGAGTTCAGGAGTGGGTGAAGTTGAAGAGCTCACGTCTTTTACTGTCTGGACATACAAGCAGTAAAATGAGTGACGGAAGAATAGAGGAGAGGGATGAGATGTCTGGAAGACAGCAGTCTGTCTTCCTGTGAATCTTTTACTCTGTGGCTCCTCTTTTGTCTCTCCCTGCCACGCCTCCAGGGGTCGCCTTGGCAACATGTTTTACTGCTGGCAGCCATATAAATACAGCATTGGCTCCTGCAAACTGGGATAGCTGTGCACAGGAACACTCAATGCCAAGGACACAGCGAACAAGGGGGATTCGGCTTCAAATCTAAAAGGAGGTAGACGACAGAATACATTCATTCTTGGTGAATATTAGATATTATTCACCAATATTTTGTGAAAGCAATGAATTGTTTTTTGCTATATACAACATGATTTGAAAAGGGGGAAGGAAACAGGCCAGATTAGACATTTGTGACTCTTATATGTTGTATTTTTCAGCTCAGCATGGATGACGATCTGCTGGCGAATAAACAGACAGATGAAGCTGAGTCTCTCCATGGCAGGAGGGAGGAGGACAGTCTCCTCAACATGTTGACTGAAACTATTCAGGGGGTTGAAGCTGACAGACGATCCACAGATCATTACAAGCAAACAGTGGGTGGGAGGAGGTGCACAGGAGAAGAACCAGGTAGAGGAGAGGAAATACAGAGAGGGAGTGAAGAAAGGATGCTCAGTCCAGCAGAGGATGAGGAGGAGGATGAAGAGGAAGGAGAGGGGAGAGGAAGGAATACTAATGAAGAGCAGTTGGAGAAAGAATGCAAGCAAAAAGTTCTGCGAGTGCTGAAGGAGCTGAGTGTTTTTCATTCAGAGCGAGTGGCAGCCTGGAAAGAAGCCCTCAGAGAATGTGCCTCCATGCTCAACAAGTGTCCACCAGGGGGCGGTGATCAGCAGTATACGTCTACATTGGGTATGGAAGTTGATCTCATTGATACATATCTTTTTCTACCTTTTAGAGAAATTGGAACATTGGAAAAGTAAAAATATCTTAACACAGTGAGTCTTTGTGTAGAGGTAACAGCTAGACTTTGATTAGTTAAAGGAGCTGAAGTGTCAGTTCATTGTAAGCGGGAAAAGGAGTTGAAGTGTCAGTTGAAGTAGAGACACTGAAGGTAGTGTCAGCGGAAGTTTAAATGTAAGCATGAAAATTAGTTTATGCTTGTGTTGGTTGAAGGACTTCACATGCAGGTGGAGTTTAAAGTGTCTTTGCAACTGCTGATCAGTTTTTGCTGGAAGCAGTTGAAGTGTCAGTTAAAATAAAATCGCTGAGAGGAGTTGAAGCATGATTTGGAGAGAACGCCCCTAGATTAATTAAAGCAGATATTTAAAATGTATTTTTAAGGCAAATACCTACAAACATTATATACAAACTACAAAACACCACATTTGACTTCATTATGAATAGTTCATGAAATTCAAAAACAATTCTGTGAAACAGCAGTTGTTTTAATGTGTAGGTGAAGAATCAATAAAAAATTTTGTCAGTAAAAATCTTATTTTTTTTGTTGCCAGCAGTTGCCCATGTTCAATATGCTTGTTTTTTTCAGAGCCAGACTGTAAAGCCATATCTTGTTCAGACTCCCTCAGTGATACTTTTCAGAGTATAGTGGAGGACACAGAGAAAATTATGCAAAAACTGAGCACAATCATAACCAAACTGGATGCAGAAATTGTCCAATTATCTGCAAAAGAAGCCACAAGTGTGGATGCAGCACTTCAGGAAACCAGAGACTCAGAAACTTCAGCAGAACCTGAAGATTGCAACAATCACCTGAGCTCCCATGATCCATGTGAATCCGACTCTGGGCGTAAACAGAAGGGTGAGGATGAAGGTGATCGAAGCTACACAAGGCCGTCAACAGACAATGAGCAAACATCAGACTGCAATGATTTGAAAGACACAGGGAAAGAATTGGAGGTCAAAGGTCAAGTGAATGATAATGAGGTCTGTGTTTCTCCAGTGAGTCAGACTGAGTTACTGAAGGAGACAGAAAAGAATGCAGAGAAAATCAATGTCAAGGGCAAAGAAGAGACAAAGACTGAATGGATCACACTGGGGTAAGTTGACAAAATCATCACCTTTTTGCCCCCATTAAGATGCAGTTTTCCTCTTTGGTTGTTAAAATCATTATCTAATATTGATGTCTGGTTCTTCATTTTAGACACATTTAACCAAACTTAAGCCAGAAGCATTTTATGTACTCTTGTAAACAAGAAAGTGAGTGATCTCCACTAGAATACAATTGACAACAAACAGATTTCTGCTTGTTATGAAGAGTAAATCAGTTGAGTCTGCTCCCACCTGTGTCGACAGCAAAATGCTATTTAACCTAATGGATTTTTGAAGACAGTAAAACATGTCAACAAGTCCTATCACTAAAAAAAAAATCTGGACATGATTTGATTCCTTCCCATCATTTCCCTTTCTCAGTGATACAGAAGCAAACTCTCCGCGCTGCTTTATTACAAGGTGCACACGTTTTGACCACCTAGTCTCCCCATAGCCTGCTATTTCCCACAGTTCACTGTCAGGTCAATGCCCACATTTGTCCAAACGCCAAACAAATCAGGAAAATTCAGATCAGAAGGGCAGGCCAAGTCTGGGAGAGGCTGATATGGAAAATATGTGTGCTTCAGCATTTTAGAAATTCTTAAGATGGTTGCAGTTTTTCTTTTGTTTTTTTTTTAATCAGAAATGTTGCTTGAAGATAATAATATTTCTGCTACAAATTCTACTACTCCTATTACAGCCTCTAATATTAATAGCAATTAGGAGCTTTTTCATGTTGCTTACAATCTCCCATGTTTCTTGTTTCAGCTTGAACTTCACAGCTTAATGTTTTTAATCTGTGTACATACTGTATCTATTTGAAATAATATCTAGGCTCACTGGTAAAATGGAGGACAGCCAATCAAACACACCAGATGCATGCTTTATTAGAGCACCTATGGGTGTGGCTGAAGTCCTGAGGTGTGAAGTGGCGGACGCCTTCAGCTGCCTAATGGTCACCGGCTCGGAGGAGCTGGTGAGCAGAGTGATCAGGGTCAAAGTTCAAGACAGAGCCAACTTCCACTTCCCTGTGACCGTGGTTATGCCTTTCTGCGCGCGCTACCGTGGCAGCTACAGGGATGTCACTGTCAAAATAATGGATGGGGAGAGGAGGGTGAGCTACGTCACTCCTGTAACAACAGAGGGCACGTATGGAGGGCAGAGGGTAAAATTTTATATTATACATATGCTCACTTATTTTAATTTTCTAAAATTTCATGAACAAAAACTGTACATTTTGATCTATGTGTGCTTTTCATTTACAGGCTAAACCTAACTGAAAAAAATTAACATAAATTAATCGCACAAAAATGTGTAACCTTTGCATGCAGTATAGCACATTAGCATAGGACCTGGGAGGCATAAATAAAGCTTGACTTTCTTCCTGAAACATGTTTTGAATGTAGCATTGAGGGAATGCAATGAAGGCAGTGTTTTCCAAATATAGTGTCTTCTCAATTATTCCAAGCCCAGAGAGACTCTGGGGACCCTGAAGATTATCCACCTTGTTGGGTGTGATGCCTGTTTGAAAAAGATATAAATCTCAGTGATGAGTTTGTGATGCAACATTCAAAATAAAACCAATGAAAAAAAGGTCATCATGAACCAGGGGGGATAAAAATGTAGACTGAACAAGGTTTTTTCTTTCTTATTTAAAACCGAAATAAAAACCTAATCTGGATCTAAATTTCTATGTAATACATATTCAGTGTGAATAGTGAAGGTTAATTTGTACACAAACTTTAAGATACGTATGAGAGACTTTTTCTAATTCTGTTCCATCTATTATTTGAAGAGTAATGTTGTCTGTATTTCATACAGAATGGGAATGATTTCTTATTTTTCTGCATTCAGGGTTCATTTTAATTGGAACAGTGACAACAGCAGTTTGTAGCCAGCTGAATAGATAACAGCATCATCTGCATAGAGATAAAACGTCACTGGCTGGATGTTCTTTCCTATGTTGTTTTGAATTGAAAAATAAACAGGTTCTAATTTAGAGCCTTGTGGTGCACTGATTCATATACTTTGGCTGAAAAAGGTAATTTCATGTATGTGTCATTCATGTCTTCATCAGGGCTCATTTGCAGAAGTGAAGGTGTATTCCCTGGGTTTCTTTGCAGTTGTTTCCTGTCTAAAAAGAGAAAATTACACCGTTCCCAGTAGGGGTTTGTCACTCAAGCTCCCAATGGACCAGCGCATTTGTCTCAACTACCTCCCAGGAGCCTTCACTGCTCCAGTAATGGCACAGATCATGGTATGGAGATGACTTGAATTGATCATTATCCATCTTTCTTCCATTTGACCTTTAATACAAGCATGGTATTGCAAAATTCATTGGTTTACACGACTTATTTGTTGTGGGTTATTTGGGATTGAGAGTTGGGTAAAACTCCTGTGTAAATTTGAGATCAGCCCTCAGACTCAGTATTCAAAAAAGTGGAATTGTTCCAAAAATGAGATAAAAACAAAGTAAGACATGGTAAGGGAAAAGGGACATAAAAAGCAAAAGAGAGAAGGAGAAAAAAACCCAGCTGTGGCTGATATTTGAATTGACTTCAGAGTGTAATCATCCGTGAACTAACTTCACCACAGCTGTTTGTTGCTTGATTGTACGTCAAAAACCAATGTCTCCCACTCTGCACGGCTCTCTCAGACAAACCAGCATGCTGTTGGCGAAAGAAAAGTGTGGCTGAAAAAATATATATTTTCATATCACACAGCATCTCCACTCTGTCTAAACTGTTGCCTAAATAATGCAGAACAGCTGTTTCCTGCTTCAGATCCAGCCGTTAGACGCCGTCCTCCTGGCTGCTGTCAAGTCCAGAAGTGATGTCTATTATTCAGTGGTGTCTACGAGCCCACTACTCTACCTCACCCACCCGACCTCACAGCCCCTGAGACGACCCCTCACTGTCACCCTGCCCTGTCCCCCAAACCCTGAAAGAAAGAGAAAGATAAGGGGACAAGGTGAAGAGACAAAGCATCACCACACCCACTCTGTTTATCCAGCATGGGATCAACCTGCTGGCCACAGAGTGAGGTAAGATAAAGCCTCTTTGTGTTTGTCTTAATTAAAGCATCTGTGAAGTAGGAGGCTACTGATACTGCTTTTACTCATCTGCATTTCTGAGTCCTTAAAGTTAGTACTTCTCCTTTTTAAAAGGACACAAAATTTCCCAGTGTGGTTAAGACAGTTTCAACTTGTTTCCAATACAAATCAAAATGTTTCAATAAAACCAACTTTTTTATGTTTCAATTGTGCTGAGCTGCTCTATTCTACATTTATGTTTGATAAATAAAGGAAGAAAGAAAAAAAATTTTTTTAAAAGCAATTTAGTTTAATTTGAAAACAGGCTGAAATATCCTGCCTGCACTGCAAAATAGGTTTCTTAGGACTCAGTTATAGACAGAAATGTCCTTATGAGATTGAGATTTTTCCTGATTTAATATCCCTGCACTTTGAAGCTCACACATGACTGTACAATGCTAACAAAAATATTTTAAAAGCAGGGCTTTTTCTTGTGATGGGGTATTTTACATTGGTTTTGATATCTCTGTCAGAATACTGGGTGCCTTGAAGTCCTCAAAGGAAACATCCAATGAGCAACTGATTGTTCTGGGCTCAAAGGATAAACAGTGGAGCGTCCTGGAGAAAGTCACGGTCAGAAACCAGCAGGACGGACTGGCATCCTTTGAGCTGACAGAGAACTTTGACAGGTTTGTAACATCAGGTTTTCTCCTTTTAAAAAAATCCCTGGTGCAAAAGTAAATAGCTGATGAGAATCATTAATAAGATTAGTAAAAATCTGTTTTATTTAAATAGTCCTTTAAAGACAACACATTAATCAAAGGTGATTTACAGCACAAGGAACATAATAAAATAAAATACATACGTTAAGAGAAATGCAAACACACAATACAGTATTTGCCCATAGACTTACTATGCACAGAATCAAAGTAAGAGATTGGATACACTCAAAAGCCAGTAACCACTTGATTATGTCCTTGACCAAGGCCCCCCCTGCAGGGAGGCAGGAGCAAAGGTTGTGTTAGAAACCTTGCTGAAGAGCAATGCTCTGCGCCAGCTGGAAGCTACAAAGAGACACTTGGTTCAAAATATTGAGAGTTACACTAAATTGGATATGAAGCCTGAATGATTTTCTTATTTTGTTATTGACTGATCTACATTTCTGACAAATTTGAAAAAAAAGATATGCAACTGGTCATGATAAACTGGGCCAATTTAAAAGTATAGCATAGGTATAGCATTAACAGCTGTTTGCGTACCAGTCTTGCCAAGAGCTCAGTCATCTGAGCAGCCCTACTTCTTCAGGGCAGACTGGATGCTACAGTAACTCAGTATAGGAAAATGATGAGACAGTCTGACCAGGCCAGGGCTAGCTGGTTAGCATGCTAACTTCAGTGGAAGAAAAGAAGTGATAGAAAATAGAAAGCAAAACAAGAGGGATGATGTTTGATGCTGAACTCACAACATTCCTTTTGACTGGTATACAGCTGTTAATTCTAACGTTAGCTATACAGCAATAGCAAAACCTACAAATAGCTCCTTTAAAATGTTTATTGTTAGCATATCTATGACAGCACTTCTCAGCGGATGTGTTGTTGCACTTTCCAACTTAACAAGACAACAACACAAACTGCAATGTGAGGCAGGAACATCCAGAGCAGAACTACAGACAATGCAGACAGCCCCAGGGTCAGACGGGTAGGGTAACGCTCATTTTTAGCTTCATTTGTCTTAGGTTCACTGCTGATTTGAACAGTTTGTCCATCCACAAGAAGTACAATCTGAAAAACATACAGCATAATATCAAAACAGTTTCATGATGTGCTACAGATACAGTACATATGCTGGGATGCCAAACTGTAATAATTTTCTTACTACATCTCCTTGTTCCTGAGCCTTCCTACTGAAGTCCACCAGCCACTGCAGCTGATTTGAAGGACTGTAGGTTTTCAGTTTGTTGCTGTTGTCTACCATACACAGTATCACTATGCGCTGGCTGCTCACATCCCAGATGAGGATGTGACAAATCCTGCGTCTGACCACAGAGCAGAAATAGTTCTTAAGCGCTGCAGATGAATTTAATAGTTTTCATTTCCTGTTTGTACCTTTTTGCTGAGATGCAGTTGACAGATGTTGACTCCAGGTTCACGTGTTTCTCAGGGGAACCAGGAAACTGTATTAATCTCATAAAATCAGATCCACGCTGTGCTGCTCTTGTCACATCAAGGAAACTGTTGAGACTGGAACACACACATACAGAACAGTAAACACTGTCTTGATTGATGCACAACAGAATATTTTTTGTGTGAATGAGAGTAACTGAAAGTCCCTTAACACCTCTCAGTGAAGTACAGCCTTTTCAGTTTTTGTTTTGCGAGGGAGTTAGCCTGCAAGATACAGAAAGTCAAAACTGTGCTCATGTTTTCATATAAAAAAAAAACATGCAGGAATGAAATTGAGCATTTTGAATTCGTTTTAGAATTTGGTTTAGCCAAAGAGAGCAGACATAGTGTTGTCTTAACAAGATTTGAGTAATTAAATGACATTTTGATAATAAATAAATAAATTTTTCTTCAGCTGGACATGATTTTTAGGTTTCTCACAAAACGTATTTGGTGTCTGAAGCCCACGAGTCCAATGAGTGTGTTTGACAGACGCAGCAGCTTAGCAGGATCCTGGGCCGTCCTCACAGCTACATCCAAACATAGACTGCCAGCTGTGACTGTCATCAGGAGCCCTCCAACCACATAGATGAGGTAGAAGACTTTGCCCCTGGTCACACACAGAGAGAGCAAGAATAGAAAGAGAAAGTTAGGAAGTGAGGCTTCATATATCTGGGGAGAACGGTCCTTTGTGAAGTCTTTTGAAACTCATGGATTCTTACTTGTGGACAATCAGCTCTGGTGGAAATTTCAACATGGAGATAGATGTTTGATGTGTTGATGCGAGGCACTGCAGGAACAAAACAAACATGTAAATATGATAAATTAAACACACTTTTATACGTGTAAAACAACAAATGTTTAGTGAAAAAATGTGTAATTTCAAATTCATTTACTAGTAAATTGAGGTTGGGACTACTTGTTTTAATCTTACCAAATATTTTTTGTCATAGTGGAAGTTAGAGCATTACATTTCCCTACAATAATCATTATTATTTTTCAAATCTTCAAAACAGGATGTACAAGATTCTTCATAGAGCAGAAATTATTGTGGTACTGTGGTGTTGTGCAGAAATAGCCAAAACTCCAGCCATCTTACTGTCATATTTAATCTTAATAAGTTTTAAAAGTAGGAAAGATTCTTTATAGTTCTGTTGGTTAAATTTGCAATATTTTGTTAGTTTGTTTTTCTATCGTTGGATATACCATAACAAAATCTTTGGTACTGGTCTTTAAAAAACGTCATCATCATTACAACATTAACTTTACTTCTCAGTGTAGTTTTGTTAACTTTTTTAATCTAATGGTTAATAATGATAATCAAATTTAATTCAGTTTAATCTCTTTAGTATGTCCTCGAAGATTATTTTATTGTATATAAAGAACATGAACTCACCACTCATGCAACTCCTGTTCCACCTCTCTGGTGTTTTGATGTTAAAAGTATATGCCTGTTATTCAAACATGTTAAAGTATAGGAGACAGCATGACAAGAAATGAAATGTGAAGTGCTACAGCAGACTTAGAGCAAGCTTTCCTTTACATAAGAGGTTTAAAAGAGGCAGTATGGAATTCAAATGCTTTGAATTCCAGGCTTTAGCATTTCTAAGTCAGAACATAATCACACATTTATGGTGAAAGTGTTAATTAATCTCTAGAGAAATATAGGCAATGAGAAAATAAAGGTATCTGACTGCCTGTCTGATTTAGTCACCAGTTTAAAAAATCCAATTAAGAATATTAGTTGTAAATTGTGAACTGTTCCTTTAATAAGAATGGAGCCTGATTATTTCCCGAAACTCTTTCTCTTGTTCTTATCTAAAACAGCTTGCCTTGGGAATAATGTGTGTACAGTAGGTAATATGAATTCTTTACTCTGTATTAAGTGTGTTAAGTCTGTATTCTGCCCACGATAACAGACTCATCTCTTCCCTCTATTCAACCACAATCTAATCTCTTCACTGAGCTCAACTTCTTAACTTTGGGTCTGTCTCTGTCTGCCTCTCCCCTCCCTCCCCTCAGACTACTGCTGGTTCGTCTCCTCTCCCCACTGCAGCCTTGTCATCTCACCTCCCTGGCAGAGGAGCTGGAAGAGTCGGTTGGCTGCCACGCAGTCACTGTCGTCCTCCAGCACCGGCAGGACAAACCTCACACTGTCCTGTTAGCTGCCCTGCCCAGCCGGGACCTCAGCTGGGAACTGAACAAACTGCGAGCTCAGGGCTACAGCGGCCTCCTGGAGACCTCATCAGACATCTCCATGTGTGAAGGAGACCAGCTTCTGCTACGTTTCAGTGGCAACATCACCTCCACAGGTGGGGTGTGAAGTTGACATACAATGGGCCTGTGCTCATGCAAAGTTTTCACTTATCCAATAAAATATCTCAACATGGATTGGCACACACAAAAAATGGTTGGTTCATGGTTCCCAGAAGATGACTTGATATAACTTTGGTGATTCTCTGATATTTCATCTAGCACTACTGTTAGGTAAAATTTTCAATTTGTCCATTACTTTGGTTTGTGACCAAAAACCTGCAAAACAAATGAAATCAAATGTTATTATGCTAGTATAAATAATACTGCCCGCTAGCTAAACTCCCACACCAGGGTTCATAGTTAAACATTCAACAGGTAAAATATGTTCTGAAACATACCTGACCATGGCAAATAATAAAGCAAAACCTCCATGTAACTCCAGCTCCTGCAAAAAGTAAATAGATAAAACAGAGGTTAGCTTAGTTTACTGCAACTTTAAGCTAGCAGTGCTAGCACTGTTTAAAAGCAACTTTTGAAGTGCTAATTTGCTGAAAATATACATTGATAGGTGAAGACAGACATTATAATATTGCTATATACATAATTAGCAGTGCGAAATAGTCAGCTATTAAAACTTATTTGATGGATTTTCAGTAATTATGTAAACAAGAGATTGATAATCATTACCTGTTTCCTATAAGCATGTTAGCATTTCCACATTAGCATTCAGCTCAAAGCTGAACCTGCATCCTCGTCTTCATACAGAGGGAAAAAGGCTGAAAGAAAAATGTTTCACAACATATCAGACTCTGCTCTAATTAAAAGGTTCTCCTTTGTCCATATACAATAAACCAAACCATTATTATCTTTTGACTCAAGATAGATCTTCCTTCACACACTAAGTAATGTGTATTTTTTTTCATGATATACTCGCTGAGTCTTGATTCAGTTATTTTTCAAATCTGCATTAACCCTAGATGACACTGACTTAAATGTAATCATCTTTCTTTTTAAATATTCTTCTTTTGCAATAGGAACTCAAAACAACCAAAATGACATCCCACAGGACGGAATCGCCTTTCACAGTCAGCGCATCAATCACCTCTTAGTGCGTCTAACTGAAGTGGATCCATTTGGGAACCACAGCTCCCCCCACTACAAGGGGGCGGCTGTGTTTTACAAGGTGACCAGAGGTGAGCTGGAGTGGCGAGGGGACAAAGCCGCCCCGAAGGATGGAAAGCTCCTGGGAGATCCTGTGTGTAAGCTGTCTCTGACTTTACCCAAGGTGAAGAAGCATTCACAGAGATATTCAACATTATACTTGAAAACGTTGACCTTACGATGAAAGAATGTTCTTACATAATTCATTTTGTTTCATCTCAGAAGGTGAGAAGCATTAATCGGCCCATCACAGCCAGAGTGAAGATATGTGAGGAAACAGGTGGGTGAAGTGCCTTTTATCTATCATAAATGCATGCATAGTTCTTTTCCCCACTATATACATTTCCATCCTTGGTCTTTCTCCTCACATTCTTTTCCTGCACACTGAAGCATTCCTTGTCTACAATTTCAAATAAATGTAATAATCTGTAATGTTTTGAAATGGATTCAATTGCTGTGGTGCTGCTTATTGCTTTAACACTGATCAATATTTCAGTATTAGTACAGTATTAGTATCATTAATCTGGTAACTTTTAATGGAATCGTATCATATCATGAAGTACGTTATCATATTGTATAGTATCAAGTACAGTTCTACTTTATTTGAGCATTTCCAATTTTTATAATCTTATAATCCATTACATTTCAGAGGGAAATATTAAACATTTATCTGATATTTTATGGATTATTCTTCTTTTTTTTTCTTTGGAAAAATTGGTTAAAAAAAATCCAGTAAGAATATTTCGACCTGTTTTAATACAAATCAACACTTTTCAAAATCTTAAAAAAACTGCCTTAGTTCATTCATTTCAACCTGTTTTCATTTAAATTCAAAACAAGTTCAAGTATATTCACTGCAAAATAAGGTTATGAGAACTCTTAGACAGAAATGTTGGTATAAAACTGGAGGCTTTTGCCGATTAGACTGCAGAAGATTTCATAAATTTACTTAAAATTTAAAATCACTTCACAGCTACAACAAAAATGATGCTCACACATCAGTGATATCAATCATAACCATATGAAAGGGGCCAACTTTTTTGATAGTTGCACCAAATTCATTGCATCACTGATTATTTTTGCATAAATTAGCCATATTTTGATAAATATCAGGAAATGCCTTTGATGTTGTGAAAATTATTTCAACCACATTGCTCATTCCTCCATCCTTCATCTCTTGCCCACCCACCAGACTCCCTGCCAGACTCTCTTCTTCTCTGGCTGGCTGGGGAACTTTCAGAGGAAGAAATAGCCCTGTTGGCGCTCTCCCTGCGTCTCCGTCGTAGCGCTGCACAACTGGTGAAGCTCCGGGCCGGGGACAGCCTGTCCACGCAGGCCTTCCACGTCCTGGCCATGTGGAGGAGGGCGCTACCCGCTGCTCCACACCAACCCAAGGCCTCTCAGCTGGCTCATTGCTTGGCCAAGAGCGGCAGGCCAGATCTGGCCAGAGAGCTGCTTCTGCGACAGGCTGCAGCCACCAGACAGGGTTCACTGAAATAAAAAGACTTAAAAAGCAAAAATCACACAGATCTTTTACTGCTGCTCATGAGCATGGGTGTCAAATGAGGTGCGCGCAGTGCTTTGTTTGATCCACAAGGGGTCAGCATTGCCCTGTGAGAGTCTGTGCTCTCTTCAGACATGAGTCAAATTTTTAAATTACTGGTTGTCACCCTTTTTGGCTGGTGACCCCTAAAAAATGAAGCTATCTACTTGTGACAAATCATCAATGATTGATTATGTGTATGAGTTATAGCTAAGTAAACCACAAAGCTTTTATTTGAGTAGTTTGAGAAATCTAAGAACAAAACATTATTCATTTAATCAAGAAAAAAGCAAACATTAGAGGGAATAGGCTATCAGAAACAATAAATTAATTTGTCTATTTTATTAGCCATTTGTAATTGACACCTTGCCTCAAACTATGTGTTGTAATGCAATAAATCTAATCAATCTGACTCTAGACACAAGCACAGATCATTTTCTGCAACTACAACTTGATTCACACTTCCATAAAACAAAACAAAAAAAAAAGCTTGTATAGCTTTTATATGTGAGGTGTATGTTGGTATGGTATGTGAGGCTAACACACAATGTGTGTGACTGGAGATGTTAAGCGTTGCCACACTTTGAAATGTATGGGTTTTCTCAGGTTATTCTCACATTTAAAGTCAGCATTAATCTCTGTCAAGACCTTCACATTCTCACTTCATTTTGTAGTTTGTCTCCACAGACAGGTAGGAGATTTACACGACCAGTCAGCCATCTCCTCTCTCTGTGTAAACAAATGCTGACACTGAGCTGTGACCTCTTTTCAGCTCCCTGACACCGAGTCATCTTTTAGACTTGACAGCGTCTGTTGATGATAGCTGATTAGATAACAAAGGCTTTTCTCTCTGCGTGCTTAGGTATATTCTGTTTTTGATATAAATTGGAAAAACTTGGAATATAAATGTATGTATTTGTGTGTTTTTGTTTGTTTTTTTTAATATTTTTGTGTGTATACGTTTGTATCTATGCCTTTCAAGTGGAAAATGCTGATATGTACACAAATCATTGCCTTTGTATAATGTGTACAGATTCTGAAAATGTTAGTGAGGTTCAAGCAGTTGAGGAAACATCTCATCACAAAGTCCATTTAGTAGCTAATCTGGAGCTTTCAAACATATCTGACAAGACTCACCATCAGATGGCGTCTTTCCAGTTGTCATGGAATTGAGCGATAGTTACACCCATCCCTCAAACCTGTGAAGGTTTTGATTTCTCACCATGTTAACGTTAATGGGGCTGGAGTAAAATCGTTACTTAGCATGCATTAGTTTCACTGTTATTTTCTCAATTAATATAATTATTTATTCTGCAACATGCCAGAACCTCTGAAAAATTCGTCCAAGGTAACGTCTTCAGTTGTTGTCTCGTCCGACCAGCAGTCCAACATTTTTTCTTGAAAAATGAAGGAGAAATCGATTATCAAAATTTATGCAGAATAATCTTCTCTTAACCGAGTACTTGGAGAGTTTTTTCTTTAACCTCTTCAGCACAATGTCATGTACAATATGTTACTGTTCCAGCCATCAAGTGCACATCTAAAGCCGTTCTTACAGCATTACTGTTTTAAAATTTTCAACGAACTTGTGGAACCTAAGTTAGCTTAATTAGCCATTAACTACAGGAGGTGGAACTTTTCTTTTTTTAAGCCTTCTTGTCAATGTTGGTTTAAAAGCTGACGTATGAAATATGATCAAAAGCTCCAGAACAGCTACTCAATGAATGTAGTGAAATAGATTTCTTAACTGCTTCTTCCAAGGCTTTGAACCTCAACTTAAATGCCAATATGAACGAGAAATCCTTAAAGTGCCTAGAAATAAAAATGTAAATTTGACACCTGGGAGGATCGTGTGATATGACAGTAATCACTGGGACTGCTACTAAATAGACCTTGTGCTGAGATGTTTTCTCAACAATTATGTTCTGTCTGAAAACCTGAGCTGAAGTTGGTTTATGTAGCGCCACAATGAGTCCCTCTTATAACTAAATTACTGGCAGCAGAAGTGCGCTCCGTGTTTTTAATGACGTTCACCAGGGTTTTTCATCTGTCTTCAGAGCCTCCCGCTCCAGCTGTGTGACATTCTGCAGGCCCTAAGCTGAAGCAGGGGGGTAATGATAGATGCCATGTGTCCAGGTGGGGGGTAGGGGACTCCCCGTGGAGACAGAGGAGACCACCCAGTGCTGCAAATGGGGGGAACGGTTAATGAAGTATGAAATGGTAACAGGTGGAGCTGATGGATTAAAGAGGATGATGGCTTCTGCTCATTCTCTGTCACTTGCTAACAAAAACGGTCTCCTCTGTTCATTAACCTTTTCTCTTCCCTTTATATTCTGCCATTGTATTGTTCCCCAGCTTCACACTTAGGTGGGAGTATTGCTCCCGTATTTCCCTTTTCAAACTTTTTACACTCCTTCTTGCTCTTTTGCCCACACTTTTCTTCCCACTTTCCCTTCAGTGTGATTCTAAAGGACACGTGTGGCATCACTAGCAAGAGAGTTTAGTGCCTCGGGAGAGTGTGCCAGAGGGGGGTATCATTAGTCTGGCATAGGGCCATCAGACACACACACACACACACACACACACATTGAGGGCTCCACTAGAGGTAAATGTCACAGAGGGGGCTCCCACAGTGCCAGGAAATCGTTACCTCTCTCATTTTATCTCCTTTCTCTCCCCCTCTACATTATTGAAAAGGCCACGCAGCAAGGCACTCTGGGAGGTTGCCCATCGTCCAGTGGGGGAGGATACCGAGGGCTGATGAGGTGAAGAATTCCCACAGAGTGCCAGCGTAAAGAGATTCTGATTAAAACCTCATCTGTTTCATCATTCATTTCATCATCCGCCTTCTTCTTCGTTTGGAGTGCTCCGACTTTTTTTTTTTTCTTTCTTTTTTTTTTTGCAGGAGTCCTCGCTGCCTTTATTAGCCTTCACACTTTTAGCTGTCAAGGTAAAACTGTCTGATGTGATTGAGATGCAGAAATAGTTGTGAATTAATATATGCACCGTCACAGCTCATACTGAGAGTTATGGAAGAAAAACAGACTTCTTTTCTTTCACTTAAAAGCCCCAGATTTGTTGTTAAATTACCTTTTATCATAAAAGTGGAGGAACTGGAAAATTACTTGTGCAAGCCTTTCCATTAGCTGTATGGCTGATTATTTTTGATTTAAGGCTGGTTTAATTACCCTGTTTACTCATTTAAGCAATCATACACACTGTACTGCCTCACAGTAATTTAGATCTAAGCACAGCCGAATCCTCATCAAGATTGAACATTAAGATTCTGAAAAAAAAACAAAAAAATTATATATATTTATTATTTTGAGAAAATTGATAAAACTCTTATGTATGGTAAACATGAAGCTACAGCCAGCAGCGAATGCGTTAGCTTAGCTAAGCACACAAACTGGAAACAGGGAAACAGCTACAGCCAATCTCTGTTCAAAGGTGATTTTAGAGTTGCTGGGACACAGCTGTGTCCCAGCAACTCTAAAGTTCTCTAAAGTTCACTAAACAATGTTATATTTTGTTAGTTTAATCCATGAAAACAGAAGGGTACATCAAAAATTGCAGTCTTTTTGCTAAGCAAAACTAACTGGCTGCTGGTGGTAGCGTCATATTTACCAAAAGAAACATGAGACTGGCAGCAATTTTCCCACAAAGCTCTGCAAGAAAGAAAATAAGTGCATTTGCCAAAATGTCATTCTATCACCTTTACTGCATTTTATTCTAATTGTGAGTCCCATTTTTATCATATCAACATCATACATTGTCATTCATTCATTTATTAGCCATTCCGCTTGTCCTTTTAGGGTCGCAGAGGTGCTGGAACCAATCCCAGCTGACATTGGGTGAGGGCAGGGTACACCCTGGACAGGTTGCAAGTCTTTCACAGGGCTCATACACTGTTAACAAACGGAAAAAAAATAAACTTAACATGTACAGAAGGCTAAACGTAAATGGTGCACCAACAATCTGTTTTAAATCTGAAATTGAGATAAGCTATATTTAGCAGCCTCAGGTCCATAGGGTGAGTTGGGTCACTGTGCTGTGTTGAACCCTGTGATGAGTGAAAAATGGAGACAGCTCCTGTGTGGCTGTCCATTCATACAAAAACAAGGATGGATCAAATCTCAGGGGTGATTCTCTGACTCACACCCTGGCCCTGACTACAGCCCTTTGTGTGTGTGTATGTGTGTGTGTGTGTGTGTGTATGGGAGGGAAAGAGACAGACAGACAGAGAGAGAGAGAGACCTCTCAGGTGTACTGCTCACTGGTCCATGACAAACTCTTCATTTGTCCCTCATTTCAGTGGCAGACAGGGCAGCTGGGGCTGTAATGGCTTGAGTTTCCATTGCAAAGGGTGGGTCATGAATCTCAATCAGGGAATATTATCAATGTTTCTGTATGGATCATGACTGCTTACATGTGACAGGTGTTGCTCAATGATCCCACAGTGACAGCTCTGCAGTTCCCTTCAGCTCAAAGGAGCTATTGGTAAGTTTTGCTAATGCTACATACCCGGCATTTTGATGACTTTGAGGTCAATGTTTTGCTTTTATAGCCACAACTTGACAGTTTTTATTCATTCTCAGAGTAAAATAACTCTAACAATCCAAATGGTAGATAGACAAAATTAGCTTGTGGTGCATTTAGGAGCTAAAGAACCAAACATATTCACTCAAGAGCTGGTAGAGACCACAAACAGAGCTAAAAGAGGAGTGAATATTGGACTTTCATTTTTCAGGTGGACACAAATCAACTATAAATGAATGGCCACGTTGCTCCGTGTCTGCTGCATGATTTAATAGGTGACTGTTTGCGACGAGGTTTGCTTTATCAGCTTCAGAGGTTTCTGCTGAAGTGACTAATAAGCCAGTTTTAAGAGCAGAAGCACAAACATATTCACTAAGTGGTTTCAATATTAACTATGTTGAATTCATGCCGCTGTAGT